AAGAGGTTTTTTTTTCCAAATATTTCATTTCCTATTAATGTTTTCTGGTACTCGATTTGGTGATTGCTTAGTTAGAAGATTTGCTTCTTTTTTATCCAATGAATTTGTATTTTGTTTCGCATTGTGTGAATATACGCTATAAATTTTTTCTTTAAATTTTTGTCATTTGTGATATATTTTTTAAGTTATATTTGAAAATTTAAATGTACGTTTTGTTTATTGATTGCTATTTAAAAAGAAAACGCCTCAAACACACTTTTTAGAAAATGTTTACAAAGACTCACGTTATTGCTAAGAAAACAAAATTTGTTCCTTCTGAGGAAAGTTATATAATAAAATTAATATCACATTTCATAAAATCATGATCCCACTAAATTTCAATCGTGCAATACACACAATAAAAAGGATTTTCAATATAAAAAAAAAATCTTTGAAGTTTTGTGATCTTGAGATTTCAACGTCAATTTTATGTTTATTCATTTTTTATATTGCGGGAATCGTGTTTATTGAGAAAGAAGAAAATATTAAGTGTGTAATTTGAGAAAAAGGAAAGAGTTTTAATTCTGTTTTTCACCGATCTGCGATGTTGCTATTTGTATAGCTTAAATATTGTATAGATACACTTAGTCAAATGCCTTAGTAATACAAATAGCAACGTTTTTGAATCATAATTACACTTTTTCAAGAAAAATATACTTTTTCTTATTTACAAGCTGTCGTGCAAAGAAAATTCGAGGAATAAAGTTTTGCCACAGATGATTCGCCTCTTACGAAGACACTCTACCGCAGGAAAAACCTTTCAAAGCTTATTCTGCTTCTTTTCCATAAGTAATTTTAAAAAAAAAAAAAAATTAAAGGAAAATACAATCAGGTTAACTAAAGTAAACCATGGCGTTTCAAATACTGAAAAACTGTCTTCAAAATAACAAAATGAAAACAAAATACTGCCGGATTACGTCACCACTGCGCAATCATGAGTTATCCTGTCATAATTTATTTGCATTTTGATATTTTGAAAATTACTTTTCAGCATTTGAAACTGCAATGTTTAGATGAACTCATTTTTCATTAAAGTTGAAGTTATTTATGAGGAGGAATTAAAATTTACCAAGAAGGGTTTCTTCCGTGTATAGCGTCCTCTAATTCCCGCAATTTTCGTTGTGGGCTAGTGGTACATAGAGATTCAGGCTCCACAATTTTCCTGACCAACTGCATGATTGTGGCAATGTGGTCACTACTGCGCCCAGGCCCCTTTTAGACCTACTGATCTGAAGCTAAGTTTGCCTCAAGCCGCCACTGGGGATCGAAACCCAGTTCCTTCGCAATGACAGTTCAATGCCTTGATCACTGAGTCATTTGGCGCAACGTCCTCTCAACATGATAAAATTGGTTATTTTCATTATATTACAATTATATACAAGTGTGTAAATGATATTCTTTGGTACTCATGCGTGGAAAGGAATATATTGATGAAAAATACATAACTTGAGAAACACTTATTGAAAATTATGTCATGCAATAAGTTTAAAAGTATGCATATTAAGCGTATGTTTTAAAAAAGTAGTTTCAGCAAAAATTTGCTGAATTTACAGACATCAAGATGTTAAAAAAATTTTTTGATTTAAGTGAAGTGCGAATAAAAAAGCGGTGTGAAATACTCCTAAAAAAGGAAGCTAAGAAGCTTCCTTTTTTCCTTACCATTCCTTACCATTGTTTCTGCATCCAGCAGATTCTGCTTCAGTTAATGAAGAAACAACAGAAAGAAATTAGCCTCTCGGAAATCGAAACATAAATAACAATTTAAAGCAACACTTTTACTGTCTGTAAGACATAGATTATGTATGAAAGTCCTAATTACAGGCTGAGACTGATAAGGGTTAGACATCATTATAATCTATTACCGAAAGGCTGGATGAATGGACCATTTTGAAACTAGTTTCGATTAAGTTGTTCTAACAGACGATGCTCTTCGAGAAGAGGATATGAAATCGTCCCACCAGTCCCAGCTGCGGTGTAAAGTAAAATCACCAAAGCAGGTGTATTTTTTTGTTAAGAAATTTTTTTTTCTGTGTATTGTGTAAATGATTTTTTAACTTTAATTGCTTTCTGCTGTTTCTTGATTAACCAAAGTCGAATCTGCTTGATATGATAAACCGCTGGAAATGTTTTTTTTTTATATGATGCTATCATCAGCATGTATATGAAGTAAAATTAAAGCTGGTTGAAACCATAAACGGAATTTCTATACGAATTGTGTATAAGTAAAAGTGTTAAACAAAATAAAAAGTGTATAATATGTAAAATGATATATATGTTTATAATATCTAACCTGAAAAAGGTCTTTATCTATCTTATTTTATTCAACAGAAAACGATAGTGAAAATTAGCTATTTATGCAATCATTTTCTCAAAAATAGAATTTTTTTAAAATTTTTATTTATTTATTTTTTTATTAATTTTAAACATTGTTTTTGACTGAAATGAGCCACGTAAAGGCTTTGAAAGCTCATTTTAATACTTTATTTAGAACAGAAAAGAGAAGTTACAAAGTTTTTCGAATTTCATCGGAAGGAGATTAAATACTCAAAGTAAAATTGTGTTCAGTATTATTAAATTAAAATATTTAAGGAATATTATATAACATTATGAATAAAATAAATGCTTTTGCGGTAATAATCTAGTATCTTGCAACTACTACTTCAGAATTGCAGAATCAAAAGTTGCATTAAAACTTGAATTGTATTCAGGCTAAAAATTGCTAAAACTCTTGTGGTGTCGTGGTGTGCAGGTGTCGTGGGAGATTCAGCACTTAAAATCCCTCATGGCTATCAGCCAAAATTATAGAATAACAATACTATGCAATTGAATTGAATCCGTACTTATTTGATTGATTCAATCGCAGGTGGTGACTCTGTATACGAAAAAGCACGGAAATTATGAAATTTATTAGAATCTGTACTGAATTCGGTCAGAATAAAATTAAGAAAAAAGTAAAAAGTACAATTCTTTGGGAATTTCTGGAATTATCATTCCCCATCTGAATGGCATCTGACCCAAAGATATTCAGAATATAAAATCTCTAATGACTCTGAACCAAGGAGATCCAAAATCTAAATGCCATTCAGATTATATTCCATTTAGCAAAGGATTACGAGGATGATGAAATTCAATAAAATCTGATTACATCTAAAAATGTATCGAATTGTTTTGCATTTAACTTGGAGCCACAAGAAGAACAGAACAGAAATTTCAGATACAATATAAATTCTTCACAAAAATTTGTGCTGTACCAAACTTAAATACTGCTCTGTATTCTGTAAAGACCAATAAAGTCAGACAATTTGTAATAAATAAAGGAAATATTAGAATCCGTGCTACTTAGTGTCCAAATTTATGTATATTATATTTAATTTTGTAAATCAAACTTATATTGTAAGTCCTCAATGTGACCTTTTTTATATGTCTCCTTAAGATGTGATATGAAGCAGGTTTTTAATAAGCTTCTGACGGATGTTAGAGCAGCTGTCAATTCAATGATTCCCCCCTTAGCGTAATTTGTTACTTTTTTAAGTGTCCAAGACAGAAAGAACAAAAAGGGACATGACGATGGCATAGGAGGGGAATTGATATAACCAAAGGCGGTAATTATTACTTTAATGATAAACAAGACTGGTAATTTAGTAATTTGGTAATTTTTAGTGCGGTGTGAGTTGAATATGAACAAAAGAGAAGTGCTGCCTAATTAGCTTAATGTGCTTGCTGTCTGCGTGCGCTGAACTCTTAAAATCTTTAAACTTGTTTTGTCTCGTATTAGAGAAAAATACTAAAGTTTCAAGTTATGGCTTAATTTCTTCACACAAGATGCTTGAATTTGTCACATCTTACTAACTTAAACTATAAAAGCCGTAACGTTTATGATGCCATTACTTATTAGGAAACAAGAACTAAAAAGATATGTGGTTTGATACATGTTTTTTGTTAGGTGCGAATCATGACCTTTTTTTTAACTTAAACGTATTTACTTACTACTAGTTTAGTCTCCACTCCTATATTTAAAAACAGTTTTACGTATTGGGCAAAAATGGTATTTTTGTTAAGTTTTCCGAAGTTTTAAAACATTAGATTGAGCCGCCCATGCTCGCTAACACCCTTAATTGATCCTCATCGTTTTCTACCATTATGGATAATAGTCAGGGTTTAAAAAAACAGGAAAAAAATCGCGAAAAAATACTTAAAATTGAAATAACTTTCGAGCAAATCAGAATTTTGAAGAAAAAAAATCACGTTATTTTTGCAATACAGAATGGTTTATCAGCACGTTTAATTTCAGCATTTTCGTTTCAGACAAAATGCATTTCAGTGGAAAGTAGATCGAACATGTTTTTCTTTTTTTTTGAATATAAGTTTAACAGTTAATAATTCTCGATTAAATTATCGAATGCTAATGTTTTTTTTTCATTTCATCCTAACCGTTTGTACACTTTTCTACTCACTTTAGTAAGTTTTTAAATCTTATAGTTCTTAGCAAAACAAAATATAACGTTAAGTTAAACATCCCAAACAGGTTGGCGTCAGCTACCCTTACGATTTTTTATTATAGAGAGAAAGCAACAAAAAAAGTTCTCAATAAAATTTTGAAAGTCAAAATCAGCAAAGTTCCAGGGTGAAACAAGGTTCCTCGGAATATTTACCTTCTTCAAATAAACTCGGATTCCACGATTTCGTCATTGTTTCTCTTCATCCTTTTCAGTGTTGGACAAAGCTTATAACTTAATTTGATTTTCTATTTAACTCTACTTTTCATATAAATAATATGTTTAAAAACTGCTGTTTATGATTTTTACTTCGTGCTGCTAGTTGTCACCATTGTTGCTAACAAATATATATTCTTTAAATGTGAGGATTAAAAAATTTATTAATACATTAACTCTTCTTGTATGTTGGTAATAGTAAGGTACTTCGCTCCAAAATCTAATTTTTTTCTTCTTGATCTTTTTCAGGAACATCCCCGACTAGGAGGTACACCACTTGCTATGCTCGCCGCCCAATGCAACAAACTTGCAAGCAAGAGTCCACCACCTCTTGCAGATGCTGCAGTTGGTAAAGGATTCCAAGGATTTCACCCGTGGAAAAAAGGTGGAAGTCAACCAACATCATCTCCTAGTGCTCATCCTCTAACTACTCAACGAGTTACTACATTAGCAAACAGCACGGCTTCTTCTCATCTGAACTATCAACGACCCACAGTCACTTCAGCCTGCAGTTCAGCCTCGTACGGTGGGGAGAACATTTTCTATCCCGGACCTGCTGTCACGTCACCGCAGGGAGATAGTGCTCAAGGTCCACTCATCGGTAAAGTTCACGGTGACTCTTCCAATTTAGGAAGTATGTACTCGAGAGTGGCCTCTCACCCATATGAAAGTTGGGCATTCAACGCAATGAATGTTGCTGCCGGACCTCATGGACCTATAAAAACTGAGGTGTCTTCGGTCAACACTCTGAATTCCACATCTTGGTGGGACATGCATGCCGCATCCGGTGCCGGTACCTGGCTGGACATGTCCGGTTCGGATGCCGTACGCAGCCTTCATTCTCAGTTCCCTGCCAACTATCCAACGTCAGATTATGGACTAGGACCCAGCCTGGTAGCTTCTAATAATGCTCATCTTCTGTCATCCGGTCAACATCTTCTGCAAGACACTTACAAATCTATGCTTCCGTCAGCTCAGGGCCCTCCCGTGGGTGGACCCTTCGCCCTTAGTCAGCCCAGTCTGCCTCATATGTCGCCGCCCCGGTCACAGCGGCGTTATAGCGGCAGGGCCACCTGTGATTGTCCTAACTGCCAGGAGGCGGAAAGGTTGGGACCGGCAGGAGCTCATCTCAGGAAGAAGAATATTCACAGCTGCCACATTCCGGGCTGCGGCAAAGTCTACGGTAAAACGTCCCACCTGAAGGCCCACCTCAGGTGGCACACGGGCGAAAGGCCTTTTGTGTGCAATTGGCTGTTTTGCGGCAAACGTTTCACGCGGTCCGACGAACTGCAACGGCATTTGCGAACGCACACTGGAGAGAAAAGATTTGTGTGCCCGAACTGCGGCAAACGTTTCATGCGTTCAGATCACCTCGCCAAGCACGTCAAAACGCATAACGGGAGTGAGAAAAAGTGTACAAGTGGTAGTGAATGTGATTCGGAAGAAAACAGCCAACCAGAAGGAAATAATGTTAATTCTCCGGGTTTAGTAGGTACACCACCTTTAGGACCTCCCAATGGGCCGATGGGTCCTGAGGTAACTGCTAAGTGAGATTGTATAGTACTAATAAATAAATAAAAAAAAGCTGTGAGTGCGTGAACTATATTTGTACATTATTGTACACAGACTCCCTTGACCACTAGAGCTTTTTTCAATTGTGTTTTCCTCTTGTTTGCTGCAATGTATATTACTAAACTGAAGTGGCCAAAAATATTGAGACGTCACCACTTGTATATTTTCAAGACTATCTCCAGAAGAACAATTTTTTTTTCTAATTGTTCCTAATATATGTTTTTTATTTACTTGAAATTTGAGAGAAAGTTGTAATTACAATGTATTGTATAAATGAATTACAAAATTTGATAAAAATTACCGCATGCGTTTGTAAGAATGTTTCATTGAAATTGAGAAATTGGATTAAATTTTTAAGCAGTAGGGGAAATTATTCTGACAAAAAAATTGGTACAGCTCAGAATTTTTATGAAAAAAAAGAAAGATCTGCTTAAAAATGAATAGTGTACAAATGTGAAAAAGACCATGTCATGAAATTCTGGAGATGGTCTTTGTAAACTGTATATTGTGTACGTATGTAAATGCGTGTGCTTGTGCATGAGAAGCTTTCGGAGTCCCAAAATTAGGACATCCTAAATGTGTTTTTAATGTGTTTCAAAATTCATTTCCTGTGACACCTATGGATTGAATTTCGAAGTGAATAAAAATTGAATGATTCATCCATGTCTGTATTCATGCTAATAAATTGCCGGATTGTACAAGATTCTTTAAAATTCAGTGTGCACAAGTAACTAGGTGTTATTACAAATTCATGAAATAAAATGTTTTGTTTATGAATTTTGTTCTTGATGCTTCAATTTTTGTACAGCAGGTACAACATAATTTAATTTTCAAACCCTTTCTTTTCAATATCATAAATTTCTTAGTTTTAAAATTTTTAGTTTCTCTACCCCATAGTACAATACCACTATTTAAGAATAATGTATTTGCAGGCCTTAAAAAAATTAACTCAGTTAAAAAATTTTAAAAATAATTCTTAGTGTACTTTACACACCTAGGAATAATGTATACGCATGTTACATACAAAGGAGAGCTTTAAAAAAATTATCCCAGTTAAAATAATCAGCCCAGTTTAAAAGATTAACTCTGTTTAAAAAATAAGCTCAGTAAAAAAATACGAGCATTTTGAACTATTTTTGTTAAAATAATTCTTAGTATCATTTACATTTGCGACAGCTTTTATTCATTAGTTTAAAATTTATTAACAAAATTGAAAACTGGCCGTTACAGATGTTGTATAATATTACCTTCGTGACAGTCAAAATTAATTTCTATATTATTTTCAAAATTAGAGTAAGTGTAAATAACGCGGACTAATTTTGACAAAAATCGTTAGAACTACTTGAATTTTTTAAATTAAATTATTTATTTTTCTTTTAGTTTGAAATACAGCATTTCTGAAAAGTAGAACCTCTCCATAGCATTTCCGAAAACCTAAGGTTGAGCCTTGTAATGAATGATTCAATATCAATTTCAATGTTTTAAAATTTATTAAACTTTTTTTTAAAAAATCGCTTTCTTATGACATTTTTCCATTTAGATGAAAATTATCAAAATCACTGCCTTATGTTCAGTTTTTGAAAATTTTTATGGGTCTAGATAGAGTAGTGTTGGAGTAAGTTTTTAATTATTAAAAAATTAGGCCACAAACGTTTTTCATTTTCACAAAACTGTGACTTTTTTCCATATTGACGTTTTGCGCCATTTTCATAATGAGCATGGGTAGCGCAGGATATAGATAGGCTAATCTTGATCTAACAGTCATGAGTAGCAGTTGCAAACTCACAACAGTTATGATAATAGCATATTATTCGCAAAAAAGCATAATTTCATATGACCACTCAACCTTCGAATAGCAGCCTTCTCTTGAGCCCCAATATTGTGCAAATTTACAACAACCTTAATACGGTGCCATATTGGGCATGTTACTCTGCAAATATAAAATTTAATTAAAAATAAAATTTAGTTTAAAACATTAATAAGGGAGCCTAAAATTTGCACGATATTATGGTTCAACGTTGAAACTATTTTTCTGAGAGTGTATACAGTGCGCAAAATAAAAAAAAGATATCACCCAGCATAACTTTCGTTTCAATGATCGGATTTTCATGTACTAAGTTTCAATCTCAATGGTTTCTGGGAGTGACTTCAAATAGGCTAACGAATTAGTGCTAACTATCAATTAATTACGAAATCTGATTCGAAAACGTACTTTCTTTTTACACATTTGGATTCCTGGCCTTTAAAATAGTTAACAAAATTTCAAAAAGATTGTGTCATAAATTGGGGAACTAAGAAGCTATGTATGTTTGGCGATTGTTTCGAAAAACAGCCCAGCATAGTTACAGCCGCAAATAAGTATAATTTAAAACAAGCGCAGAGCAATTCATTGAATTGAATTGAATGTGGGGTTTAATGGCACAAGGTCCCATAGAGAAATTCAAGAGAGCAATATCCAATTTTACTCCGTTGCTAAGTAACCGATAATAAAAAAATAATTAAAAAAAATGAAATAATGTTCACATGGAAGTTCACAGCGAAATTTTCAAAGATAAGGTCCTGAAAATTATACATAAAATCTTCATGTTAGGATTTAAAGTTCGATTTTATGCAATGGCACTAAAGAAATTGAATAAATCCCTTTAACCAGTTAAGTTTCTAATCATTTGGTTTTTTCTTCTCGATTCAGCTTTTTAATTTTTATTAGAAACAAATGTTTTAAAAAGGTGCCTCAGAATTTGTTAGCATTTAAAAATCAGAATAACATTTAGAATAAAAATAATCTGCAGTCGATGCTGTAATAATTTGCAGCGTCAACTGCCGTGCTTAAGGATTTCCGCTCCCGGGGTACAACTTATACACATTTTTAAAAAATTATTGTACCTTAGTTGTATTAAAAAGGCAGTTGTACGTACTTAAATGTCATGATTAAAATATTTATTTGAAATTAAAGACTTCCGTGTGAGGCGATAAATATTGAGGAAATGTAGTTTTGTCGAAAAATTCCAATTTCCAAATTATTCCATACTTTTTTTTTTTTTTTTTTTATAAAGAAAACATTTACTTTTTATTTGTCATGGTCTGAATAATGAATCAGGTTATTATTGATTTTAAGAACTTTAAGGAATTCAGAAATTTTAATCATGAAAAGCAAGGGCAAATTTCACTAATTTTTTGCATAGTTAAGGTTGTTTTTTTTCTACTTGATGCAAATTACATCCTTTCAAATCTTTGAAGAAAAAAAAAAACGAAAGAAAAAAGACAAGAAAATGTACTTTTCAATTATAAAAAACAGTCTAATAGTTATTAAAAAATCTGTACGATTATTTGAATTATATTTGTACTAAATTCTCTTTTGTTCTAAAATATATATGATACGAATTTTTTTTTCATTCGCATTCAAAAAATTATTAACAATTAACTTTGTAAATTAAAGAAATTTCAGTGATGAATAATTGTTTCTTTTAGATCCAAGTAAGTTCAAATCTGAAAAATTTTTGTTTGGAAGATTTAACCTTTAACGTAGAAAAATACACCGGTGTATCATGCTACATTTCATAACCATAAATTAATAAAATGCTAAATATAATATTTTTCACTTTTTTTAAAAATCTAAATTAATACAAAATAAGGAAAAATATGTTAAATAAAAAATTATGCGTCAAAGCGTTGAAACGAGTGGGCTAATTTATTCGGCGAAAAAGCAGGGTCAGAGTTATTTTTTCAGTGATGCAAATTGCGCTAGATTAAATCTTTGCAGAAAGTTAGGATATTTTTACTTATTTTATTTTACTTATTTAGAAGTAATTAAAATGTAGCACCACTCACTCAGATTATGGTAGTCTTTCTGAAAGTTAATAACTAATGCCAGCACTTATTGCCAACGTCAAATTGATTACACATTAAAAAATGCTAGTACGATAATGTATGAAAAGGTAAAAATTATGATTTTATGTGTAAAGTCTGAGCACTTAATTCACTGCGATCGTATGTCTATTCTCAGCCACCAACGCTTTTTTACAGTTCCAGTCGTATGTCTGCTCTCAGCCACCAACGCTTTTTTACAGTTCCAGTCATACGTTTGGTCTCAGCCACCACAGCAAAGATGTTAGCCACATAGATGGCAAACTACATACGTACATTGCGACACTGTGAAAGAGGAAAGATATTTCTGTATGTTTAAACAGAAAAATTAAAGTTGGAAGACGCCAAACTAATTATTTTTCCGACTCATGGTTTCGAAAACCAGCGCTTCATATTGGAGACTGCTTTGAAATATACCACACGATGGAGAACTATAAAATATAATTCTTACATGAAATTAAAACACATTATTGTGTTACATACATCTAAAGTTTAAAAAAGAATTAATAAATTGTATTTTTTCCTTCATAATTTTGCATATTATGTATTACTGTTCGTTAAGCGAAAATTAATTCTGACCAGCATGACATCCATCTATAAACTTAATACGACAGCAAAGGGTTAATTAACATAAAAATAAGAAAGTTTGGAAATAATTATTGATCGGGCTTTTTAAGATTAATTGGTCGGGCAGGATGTTGAGGCCCGACAATATTCTAATTATCGGAGAGGCAATAATTTTTTATGAAATTCAAATTAAAATTCAGGATGATATTAATTCCGCAATTAAATAATTTTGTTTAATAATACTCTCGATGACTATACTAACTCTAGTTGATGATACAGAATATTGATGTAGTAAGTTATATGTTAAAGGATAAAATTAAAAAAATTGTTCATTATAGAAATGTATAAAAAATAAAAAAAAAATTCCGGCAGCTGAATCAGCAGAATCATTGCATTTTCAAAAATTGCTTTTGAAAAAGAAAAAAATTTTTTTAAGAGAAATTAAAAATTTACATTGGAAACTAATTTAATAAAAGAGGTTTCCTGTAGAAAATAAGAAATTTACAAACTATTGTAGTGAGGACTACTTTGGGAACTGATTTTATTGTACTTTTTAAAGTGTGAATGAGTTATTTTTAGCCACAAACATTCGCTTTACAAAAGGATCAAACAAAATGCTTTTATTATTTGATGTTCACTACACAGTTAAAAATGTCGGAGTATAATAGTCGCCACCATTTTCGATGTTGAGGAAAACTGAATGAATTTTTAAAAACAGAACTGTAAATTTTGCGCAAAAACTGATATATAATTCACAAAATATCAAATCTTCAAAAGAATTTGTGTGAATATATAACTAAAAATGTGCTGATTTTTTAAATGAAATGCTTCTGCAATCAAGCGTTTAAATTGATTTTATTGCTGGAGAAAATACAGAGTTTAGAAAAAATTATGGAAAACTTTTAAACTAACTAATTTTCTTATATTTCTCAAGAAATACTCGAATATAATAGTGGTTTTGAGCATGTTCTAATGTAGAAAAAAAAATTACAGTAATAAGCTTGTATCATATGAGCCGCTAGAGAAGCCAATGCGGTTAAGTCCATTTTTTGATATTTTCTGATTTTTGGAAATTTTGATGAAATAAATAATAATCTTCTTAGTTATTAAAGGATTTACTCGTTGGTTACTTTTTTCTAGGCCAGACAGCAATTTTTTTAATAGCTTCTGAATATATTATATAATAATTTCAGAAGCCATTGTGAATAAGTCCACCTTTTATCAATATTTTGTTACATAAACTTTGAAATAAAAATTAAATTCTTCTTCTTCTTTCGATCTTTGTTGGTAACACTGAAAAACAAGAAATTCATGGTAACTCAGGGTTGCCAGACGTAGTATTTTTA